CAATGGGAACCCCACTCGTTCACACAACATAAAAATACAATACAAATAATACAAGATTATATAAAGCATTTATCGTTCCAAACTGCAAAATCTTCCACAATCGCTCTCCACGCAGTCACTTTACACCCCTCTTATAGAAACATAGTAGACTACATTTTTACAGCGAGATTTATGTCCAACAGACTCAGATCGCTGGCATACTCAGAGATACTGCACAACAACACACGCCACACAACCAGCATGTAGATTACCAACACGCACACAACTATCCGATGATGGAATTTTCAAACAAAAAATACAGTAAACTAATGGATACGCACGGCCCGTTACACTCATCACTGAGGTCTGCATGGTCTCGCTACAAACAAAAACTAAACACACTCTATCCCTGCAAGCCAAAACAGCCTCATGATTATCAAACAGACTTCATGGAATGCTTCATTCGGATGCCACTATACTTCAGCACTAATACACTCCTCATCCCTTCTAGACCATCTACATTCAATTTCGCACATGGATAACTGTTCATCACACTTTTTTGCTATCCATTGTTTTGTTCTATACTGCTTCTTGACAATCAAAACCCACATTGTTTCTCTGCGCACACGCACTTACCACTCGCCTGAAGCTATCGTTGGCTGTACTCTAGCCACCACACGCCTAGAACAGATTCTTCGCCGAACGGTGTTCGTCGTCTGCACGCTGCGTTGTGATGACGAGACTGTTGCAATCTGCAGGTGAGAACGCTTGTTACCGCTTTCACTGTCCTCTAGCGAGACGCACCATCGCGCTCTGACACTATAGTGAACACTAACTCGTCTTCCAACTTTCCCTCGTTGTTTTGTGACCTTTCCTACCATTTAGGGTTAAAAAAAAACATCTTGCAATTCAGACTTTCTTTATTTTTAAATGTTACAGTATTGTTCCATCTGTAGATGGCCCGATCGGACAAGTGGTTAGCCTTTGTCCGACTTTCCGGTGGTGTTCTCGACACCCGATGTCAACATCGTGAATCGGCAAAGAAAACTATTGACCACAAGCTACAGTAACGTATGCCTTACCTTCCTGTCAAATGCTCTCTGTAGCAAAATGCTTGGCATGCAGTGGCTGTGTGTGCTGTGGATTGTTGATAAAGGGATATTCAATAATTTTATTAACGCGATTTTGCAAGATTACCAGGTAAAATACCCAGAAAGCTCTCATTAGTCAAATAACAGGTCTACATATCAGCAGTGTTCGCTCGAGACTTCTCTCACTGCAAGTTTTGAACCAAAAGTCCACACACTATGGAAAGGAATGCAGTCCTTCAGAAAGATGACATGTCTTGGTGTGGTGTTTGTGTCTGTGAGTGTGGTTCTACGTGCTGAGTCTGCACAACTTCATTATAGTGATGCAGATTTTGTAAGAAACTCCACAGAGTTTCATGTCCTGCTGGGTGGACATGAATACTTCAAGACCAGTGGCTTCTCAACTGGCTCAGGCCTCGGGGACCCACTTTTTACGTTGCGTCAATACATCGCGACCCAACGGGTTTTGAAGCCACCTCGGCAATCTATTCAAACAAAAGAACGACGCTGCTGTGCAACATGATATGACGCTTTTCAGCATACAATATTAATAAAAGCTGAAGTACTGTGCTATATCCCTTCACAGAACTAAAGTATGCTTTTTAAAAAAGCGTTTAATGAGATGATGGAATCAAAGCGCTGAACTATAATAAAAAAGCACACATGCTGACAAACCAACCCCAGCCAGGGGGGCTCTGGGGGAATTGCTCCCCCAGGAGATTTTTAGAATACTAACATAAAACTATGCATCTGCTGGTACACTCTGAAGAGAAATAATAATCTTTTAACTACCCGACATATTAATAATATTTTATGCCATTTGGTTTGTTTTTCACTTGTGTTCTGACAATCTTGCTGCGAGAAGAGTAAAGAGGAGATAGTCTGTGTGACTTAACTTTAAATTGCCTGGGTAGATAGCTCCCATTGTTCTGTGACCTGTTAATCATCAACCGGGGTCATATTTCATTCTGTGTTCATTTTTATCTGAGTTGTACCATGGATGTATAAAAGAAGAGTTCTATACCGCAAAAGTTATTCTTCCCGTGTGGGACTTCCGCAACAATCTTGTTCTGATTGGCCAGAAGACTCGAAAAAACATCAGCAAAGATATTTTATTGAGAAGATGATCACTATGTGACAGAAGTTTTCAAAACCGTTTATGGTCTCCGGTACTTCCAGTCCAACGCCGACTGCATGCACAGCGATAGAAAATCGGGCCTTCAAAATAAAAGTTTGACTTTTTACCCAAAAGAAAAAAAAAAGAATTCCAATTTTTTTTTCTTCACTCCACGACCCACTCGAAACGGGTCCGCGACCCACTTTTGGGTTGCGACCCACCAGTTGAGAACCACTGCTTAAGACGACATTAACTAATCATGCCATAAAATAATGTAAGACCATACATGTCACTTAACATGAGTGGTAAGATTTTGAGAAAGCATACTAACTGTTAGTTTGGAATGGCTGCGGACAACTTTTGTATATTTTTTTCTAAAATCCATCTTTATTGACACTTTTTCAAAAATAATTTGCACAAAAGTAAATTAATACAACTAAAGGGGAGAAAATAAAAACACTTTTGACTTATCTATTTACATTTACATTTATTCTGATAGTTAAGATTGTCACTGTTCACAAAAAAAAATGTTGCAAAGGTTCCATTGAAAATTATAATCATACATTAGTTTGACTTGTGAACAACATTTGCTAATACATGTAATAAAATAAGTTTTTCCTAAAATTATACAGGTTATTATTTCAATTTCAAACCACCTTTAAATGCATTAAGGAAGCAATGTACTCTTAATTGCTTAACTTTGTTAGTCACAGAGCACCAAAAGGGAGGTACTGTATTGGTTATATTTTAGTTTAGAAAGACATTGCCTCCTGTCTGTGCCTGAGTGACTCAGAATGCTGTTGATTCTGTCTACGCAGACAAATAGCTTATTTGCATATGACCAAACAAATGTTGTCATTTTTGCTTAAAGCAGTACACGTGTCTCTTCTATTATTGACTCACAGACTCTGACTAACAGCTGACAGCAGCCTGAGCTTCCCAGATAATCAATGTGTTGTATGTTTGCATGTTGAATGCTCACTGTAGCAATTAAACAATAAAAAAATCTGCAAATATAACAATTATTAGTTTATATACAAATGTACACTGTGAACTTTCAATACTGCTGCTAACAAGAGGCCATATTTCACAAAAGTGTTTCTACATTGTTTCTCAGTGCATCTATATTGTTGTTCCTTTTCAGTAATAGATAAACAGTATAATACTGTATTATATTTTCTATCTTTCTATCTAAAAGCCTGCATCTTGTTTCCTCTTTTTCTCTGTTTTTTAGAACACAATGAATCTTCCTCCAGATAAGGTGAAGATCCTCAGCCAGTATGACAACGAGAAGAAGTGGGATCTGATCTGTGACCAGGTGGGTGTTCCCTCTAGATTGACTGCCCAGGCTGTCACCATGTATCTCTCTGCATATTTGATTACAATTGGCCAAATAAAGGCACTTGTTTTGTGGTTGGCTGACATACAGTGATGCAATGTGGATGCCACACACCACACTAATCCTCAAACACACACAAACATGCAGAAGCTCATTAATATTGTACATCACCCTAGTAACCAAAGGAAGGTTAATAACAACCTGCTACAGGATGGGAGAGGGACAGCGGCCCCCTATCACTAACAAACAGATATTCACTAACCCTTTTCATTTTCGTAAAATGAAAAAGAAAATGAAAGCCAATAGAGTCAGCCACCTTTAAGATAGTACCTTTTCACTTTGAGATAATAACTCGTCATTTGACAAAGTTTCTCAATATTTTCCATACTAAGTCAATATTTCTGAAGACCTAAGTTATTATTTTGAGATACCAAGTCTTTATTTTAAGATACTAAGTCAGTGTTCTAAGATACAAAGTCATTTTGAGATACTAAGTCATTATTTTGAAATACTTCCTCATTATTTTAAGATACTAAGTGCCATCATTTTGAGACTCTAATTCATTATATCAAGATACTAGGCCATTGTTTCGACATACTAAGTCATTATTGTGAGATAGTAAGTCTTTATAATGATTTGAAGTATGTTTTTGTTTTTTTGCATCACATTGGCGGAAATAGGCTTCCATACTTAGATGTTTGTAAGCTCTTATTGTTTTCTCCATGAATACAAAGGTAAAAAAGAACTTAAAAGATGGTGTGATTGAAGGGACTGCTGGACTGTGTTTGAATATAACTCCTGCTCTACTGTAGAATCATTTATCTAGAAGCATGTTAAGATCTAACCAATTTGCATAAGAGACGCTTTGTAATCAAACGGCCTGTGTGAAGCCTCGCCTGAGCTCTGCCCTCTGGACCCCCCCCCCATCACTGCAGTACTGCAATCAGATATAATCAGAAAGGTGTGTGTGTGTGTGTGTGTGTGTGTGTGTGTGTGTGTGTGTGTGTGTGTGTGTGTGTGTGTGTGTGTGTGTGTTTCTTCAGGAGCGCTTTCAAGTGAAGAATCCTCCATCTGCTTATTTGGAGAAGCTGAAGAGCTATCTGGATCATGGAGGAGTCAGTCGTAAGGTACAATACTCCCATCTCACCTCTTAATATGAGGCTCAGTTTCTGTTCACAAAATCCCGTTCCTCCATATTTTGACTCTGTACTGAATTGTTCCTCAGATCTTATCTTTAAGATGTACAGTTAATACTATGTTTGCAAACGATTAAGCTGGATCTAAAAGGACTTTTACACCTATTCTAAATCAGAAAAGTAACCTTAGCCTTATTTGTTATGCTGTTCGTGATCTAAAAGACTGATAGGGACGCATCGGAAAAAACCTTATTGACTTGGATTTTAATCCTCAAAGAATATTTCTCAGTTGTTTTCAATATTTTCATTTTGTCAGCTCAATATTGATTTAAAGAAAAAAAGCCTATTCCCAATATAAATGTGGATAATTTCACAGAGCTGTCAATGACAACAACACCAAAGCATAAATTCCTAATTCCCAAGAACCATGAATCATTCATCCTACCTGTAGTTTATAGCTTGAATTCTTCACATCTCACAAAAATACTAAAAACCCACTCATTCTCCTGCATTCATAACAATATATAGATTTTGAAAAGGTACTCTGCAGACCTAAAACCTTTAACAGCAGTCAACATTGATTGAATTAGATGACACAGTGAAACGCTAGATTCCCGTCCTGGAAACGTTTTAATTTTGTATAGCTTCATTTTATTCCGTTTATTAATGTGACGGATTGGAATGAGAAGAAAATATTCATGTGGCATGTATTTTTGTCATTTGTGTCAGTTTCACTGGTAGGAAGCTTTTCTTTTAAATATGAATGCATATCATTGCAGTTAATGCTTTAACTCAATACATGTCTTTTAGATCTCCTGATATTTAAGCTTTTACTTACTTCACATCTTCCCTGCTGTCAGTTTAAGAGACGTGTGCAGGAATCCACTCAGATCCTGAGAGAGTTGGAGATTTCCCTGAGGACCAATTACATCGGGTGAGTTTCACTACAGTTCTCAAAGTCTTTGTCAAGCTCAACCCTCTTTTAAAGGGGAGAAGCTAATTATAACACAAGTTGAGCCAATACATTCTGAGAAAACCTCAGAATAAAACGTTCTATCTTTCTAGCATTCGAGACACTAAAGGACATGTTGAATTTAAAAGTGTGTCCATGTCTTAACACAGTATATTAAAATGTCATGTTCATTTAAAACCTCCTAAAATCTGTTTGGACACATCAGTCTTGCTTTAAAGTGAATTTTTCACACATTAAATGCAAATTGTAATATTAAACGTTTGTATTAACTGAACATATGCTTTGAAAGTTTTCAATTATACAAATTCAAGTGTTGTTTAAGGCAGAAAGATGTGATTTCTGTGGCCTATAAAGCACATTTTCCACATTAGTTTTATGTGTTCTTTCTTGCAGCTGGGCTCAGGAGTTCCTAAATGAAGAGAACCAAGGCTTGGATGTTCTTGTGGATTATCTGTCCTTTGCCCACAGTGCTGTCACGTAAGTACAAGCTTGAAACAGTCAAGTCTTATCTCCTCCACACAGCCTCAACAGCATCAAACTTCCCCATAAATACCACCACGGCAACATTTATTTAAATTCTGATTCTGTGATTTACAGATATGATGTGGACAGTTTGGACAATGGAGTGTTGCCCACAGACAAAAGCAAAATAGTGGACAAGTCAGTGGAGGATCTGAGCAGAAGTGCCAGCAACTCCCCCACTCACAGCGCCTCCAAGGCCAGCAAGGGCTTCACAGTCAGGTACGGACAGAGAGAGGATGCTTCATGTGAGGTGGATGAGATTCTGTCCCAGCTGAGAGTGAGATTTACTGGTTTGTAGCTGATCCTGTACACATGTATATATTCCTTTAACAGATTTATATTCTATTGAGGCATATGTATTGTATTAATAAAGGATTTAAACCTATGATGATCAGGCAATGGCCCCCTGTGCACAGACATGCACAATCCCCCAGACCCTCACACAGGCTTTATAGTTGTTTAGCCTCTTTTTTAACCGACAAAGCATTTTAAGAAAATACCTTGGAGAAACTGGCATGGACATATTTGACTATTTTACCTGACTAGCCCTACTTAGTTATTTTTATTTCCCCTTGAAGTTGTATCACCACTAGTAGTAGTTGTGAGTCTCTTTGCAGCTCTTTGTTTTGGACTCTTTGGAGTACCACTGAATTGCTTTGTGTATTGTTCGCCTGTTCTTTAACCCCTTCCTTCATGTGATTAGACGGTATTGTAATTTTTTGTATGAAGGTTTACAAATCAATGCTTGAGTACAGTGAGTGAGATACATCAAGTTAATAGAAATACATATCAGTATAGTAAACTATTGCAGGGTTCTAAAAACCTGGAAATGTCATGGAACTTCAAAATGCTAATTCCAGGCCCTAGAAAAGTTATGGAAAACAATATTTTTCCCAAAGTTTTGGAAAAGTCATGGAAATATAACTAAAGATGCATCAAATATAATGTACATTTTATCCATCTAATAAATACTGTATCCCGTAAAGTAATGAAACGTAAAATGGCATTTAACTGTTGAGGTATTTTGCTGGTGAGAGATTTTAGTTGCTTTAGCGTGTAGAAGCTAGTAAGCCTACTATTTGATTTGTTTTAGATAGGCACAACATGTTTCATATGCAGACCTTATTTTCCTGTTCCATGTTAAAATAAACCATTTTCAGTGGTACCGCTGAGAAAGAGTCATTTTTTTGGTAATGGAAAATTAGGTAAAGGTCATGGAAAAGTCATTAAAAATCATTGGTGAAAAAGTGTATGAACCCTGCTATTATTAAAGGGCCATGTATAAACTAAGAAGATAAATCAAAGAAAGCTCATCCAGCTAGTGTTGGATGGGGTTGAGGTCCAACAATATTTGAGCACTTAACTTTAAAGTTATCACTTGGAAATCCCTAAATAATGTACTGTAAATCTATAATATGTCCTGCTTAATGAGACACATCTAAAGTACATGTACACATACTGCATACTTGTATGTACACTTTTCCATAAAAACACAGATGTATGTGCACACACACACACACACAGAAATTCTTTATCTGCTGCACAGATTAATTTCAGATTAGTTTCTCTCTCCTGATCCCTCCCTCGACAGATGCGACAGTTGTTACATTTTGTATTTCATAATGAATCAATATCAAATAAGGATAAAAGTATAACATACTTTTTATATTTATATATTCAATGTTCAAATTTCAGTTATTTTTTGTTTGGCAGAAGATAATTGAGTAATTGTTATTAAAGCAGCACATGAACTCTGTGGGTTTTCTTAAAAATATGTCACAAATGAAGTTGTGCAGTTACACGTGAACACACACTCACACACAAACACACACTAAGACATGTCATCTTTCTGAAGTGACTGCATTCCTTTCATAGTGTGGTGGGCTTTTGTTCAAACTGCAGTGAGAGAAGTCTGAGCGACACTGCTGATATTAGACCTGTTATTTGACTAATTGAGAGTTTCTGGGATTTTACCTGTAATCTGCAAAATGCTAATTAAAATATTGAATATCTTTATCAACAATCCAAGCACACACAGCCACTGCATCCAACATTTTGCTACAGAACATTTGACAGAATAAGATCATACTTACTGTAAGCTTGTGGTCAATAAATATAGACACATATGCGTGTAGGGACAGTAAAGCTGTAACCACACGTCTCTCACCTGCAGATTCAACTCTCTCCAACACAGGAAAGCCCTGAGGAACTCTCGTGTTGTGCAGACAGACGACGTCCATCTCTGCATCATGTGTTTACGTGCCATCATGAACTATCAGGTATTCAAAACAAAACACTCACTTACCTCTTTAAAAAAAAGATATACTTTGTTTTTATCAGAATCGGTTTTATTACCCAGTAGGTTTACACATAGGAGGAATTTGCTTTGGTATATGTGGTAAGACACAGAAAGAAGAATACGTAGCAAAAATAAAAGTAATATAGTACTGTTATAACAGTTATTTAAAGAATATATTTTAGGAGTATTCTAACAAATAAAAACTAAGACAAAATCTACACAACATATAATTATGTAAGGAACTGAGTACAGTATAATAAAATATGACAAATACTATAAACTATATTAAAAGTGGAGAGCTGTGCTGATTTAAAAGCTGGGTTGTCTTTGAACAACAAGATCGCATGATGTGCATTAATGTAATGCACAGCTTTTAGTTCATACGTCCTGATTGACCAATATGCAAGGAAGCCCATTTTGCCAGGAAATAAAAACATAAAATACTCATGAGATACATGAGTATTCTTTGACTTCTTTGACGCCCAAATTTGGACTTGTGAGTAATAAGTTACTACGTCATCATGTGGACTCTCTCTAAAATGATTAAGTAATGATAACCAGTTAATAAGTTAAAAAACAGTAATCAGATAGTCAAAGTCAGTTCCGACTTAAAAGTAAAAATGTTGACACAAATTCAGATACAGTATGTGGCTTTGTTAATTAAAATGAAAAGGCAGTAAATCAAATCAAATGAAGTCATTTTTAAGAACCGCACCATAATCATGATTACATTTTTCAGTCTGGGTTCAACCTGGTGATGAAGCATCCCTGCTGTGTCAACGAGATCACGCTCAGCCTCAACAACAGGAACCCACGGTACGGAAACGTTATACACTTTAATGTGTGTGCAATGTGTTTTCTGAGAGCTAACTTAATATCATGACTTATTTCGATGTAACTCTATCAACATTACATGTTAGCTGAGTGAGCTGAGAAGGGTTGACTGAGACTGAGACTGAAAATCCCTCATTATTAATCTCATAGATAAATAAAAACAACACATTTCATTTTCATATACTGTAAATGTTGCTCCTCAGGACCAAGGCTCTGGTGCTGGAGCTGCTGGCTGCTGTGTGTTTGGTGCGAGGAGGCCATGACATCATCCTCTCCGCCTTCGACAACTTCAAAGAGGTACAGCAATAAAACTTTGTCTAAATGACTTTCAGCAATGTTGATTTAAATGATCATAGTGATCACAGATTTGTTGCTTACACCCGTTGATCTAAATTAATGTTGATCTATTTAAGTACTGCTAATCTAACTAGTCACAAACCACTGAACTGTTTTGATTCGCTCTCACTGCTTCCATTGTTTAGCTTTCAGCCCACATTTAGAGACTTGCTGGGGGAAATTGTGCTGCATTGATCTCCTAATAAACAGATTTATAAGTGAGAGCTCTTATGACAAACAACCATCAGGTAGAAAATAAACTATGGAGATAAAAAAGGACGTTCAAAAAGGTTACAAATCTGTTGTTCTTTGTGCTACATTCACATTACAGTCAGTAGCACTGGTGAAATGAATACTCAATTCAGTCAAAGTAAAATAGTAATATAATAGTTATTAAAATAGAACAGTAATAGTACTTTTGTAACACAACCTTACTTAAAGGGGACCTATCATGCAAAATGCACTTTAGTACGTCTTTTATACATGAATATGTGTCCCCGGTGTGTCAGGGAACTCACCAAGTAGAAAACACAACCCTCTCTATTTTCCTCCATACCCAAATCTCTAAAAACGGGGCTGCAACGGATCTGATACAGACTGATCCAGATTTGAAAATTCTCTGACGTCAGGAACGGGGTGCTCCGCCTACTGTATATGGGCAACTTTCCACCTATCAGGGGAATGAGAGTTGGCGTGGCATGGTAACAGCATGGTAATATGACGCTCGTGCCTCGTCCCCCTCCTTTGCAGGGGGGCAAGGTCAGCTGCAGCTCATTTGCCACAGAATCAGCCCTTGTGGTGACAGGGCTGGAATAGAGCAAATAGAGCGAAATGAGGCTAAAATGCATGATCTGTTTGGTATTTTGAAAAAAAACTTCACAGACATGTTTTATATAGGTATGGCCCTACAATATATTATTCAAATATAGCATGATAGGTCCACTTTAAGTAAAGTTGTTTTCAGCTAAATGTACTTAGAGTAGTATGAAAAGTAAAAGTAGTCATTGTGCAGCAAAATATTTGCTGTCACGGTTTTATCATTACACAGAGATAAAAGTAACTAAAGCTGTGAGACAAATAAAGTGCAGAAGAAATGTAAAGTAACATACTATGTAAGTAAAGTAAGAGTACCTTGAGGTTTTATTCAAGTACAGTACTTGAAAAATGTACTTTGTAACATTGTTTCGGTAACTAGAAAATATTAAGGTTTTTTCTGAACATTTGATACCAATCTCTGACAAGGAAATAATCAGTTAGTCCAATCTCAGAAGTACAATTTTGGTATGTTTTAATAGTTTTACATCTTATACAGTAAATGACTGAACCAGGCTCTGTTGCAAAAATGCACCCACTTGATTAGACACACTCATTCCTAAAGTTCACTTTTACCACTTCATTTTTCTTTTAAATATCCATGCCGACCTATATAACCAGCATCAGCAGGGATGACTCAGCCTACATTGAGACTTTATTTTAAACCGCTCATATGCTTAACATAGTCGGGGTATTAGTGTTACAGCGCCCACATACCAGTAGCCCTTTAATGCACGGAAACGCAGGTTAAGGGGAACCCCAGAGCCACCTGCCCCCCGCCGTCAGCTGCTCTGCCCAGTTGTCCCAGCGCCAGAGCAAACTCACTGCATGTAGAGGTATGTGAAACACTTGTTGGGTTAACTCTGACCTCTCCTTGGCCCTCTCTCATCTTTGCCTGAGAAAGCAGCAACTGTTGCCAACAGATCGCCTCCTGCAGCTACAACAACGCAGGCAGAAAGCAGCATAAACCTGAACTAGGAGCGGATATTATTAGCAAACGTCAAGGAAGTTAGAAATCTGCCCTGCGACACGCTCTACAGAAGGAATGTCTTTTGGATTCAGATAATACAATTCAGTTCACATACTGTACAGACAAGTTGAACCAACTCCAAATATGCTAAAGTTCACCCAACTCCTAAGAAATGCTTGGAAACTGATAACCTTTTTCTTTTTAAGTTTTAGCCTCAAGTTTTTAGAGTTCACTTTTTATCATTTCTTATAATAGCCCACAGGTGTCGGCATCAACTGCCTTTTTAATTTCAGAAAAAGCAGTTTAATTAGAATGGATAGCTGCTCCAGTGGTGTTTTAATCATTTTTATTTGAATTTAAGTAACAGATTACATTTCTTTTGCTGAATTAAATGAGTTTTGCCTCTACTCCGATGAGGTTATTTCCTTGTTTGTCACCCTGAGAGCGGCTGTAACCTGACACAGACGCATCACTTACACTACACTATACACTATACCTACACCTTTGGCCTCATTGCAGTCAGTTTCTCAGTCAGTAAGGATTCCCTCAGTATTCATCGTTCAGAAGGTTTTTACCATCTGCAGTCGTCTCTTTATCTCCAAAACACACATACAAGCTGAAGATAAAAACACAGAATAAAGTAGCTATATCTTAATAATCAACATGTTTCTCAAGCAGACGCAGGATGTATGGGGCTGCTAGCTAACCGCTAACGTTAGCTCAACTTTTTTCTTTGAAGACCCCGGTATCTGATGATTTGAATCCTTTATCCAGCTTAGTTTAAATGACCAATATCTAAAGGATATCTTAGAAAAGTTGCTTTAATTGGATAAAAGGTCAGTTTATGGCTATTGAAACGAACCACTACTTTAATTTTAAAACAGATTTCAATATTTTACGGAAACGTTTGGGCTAATATAATACATTACTTAACAAAATATAGAACATAGAGTAGGTCATCATTTTTTATCCGGAAATATTACATATCAAACCTTCTAACCAGACTGAATTTGGAAACAGCCACAGACAGAAGCAGAAGGGACAGAAAAGAAAACAAACAACTAGTATCTGACGCATTAGTGATAAATATGATCTGTTCCGAGTTTAAAAATAAATATATCGTTATGTAATTATTTCTTTAGTGTGTAATTACATAACAGAGCTGGTTATTAGTTTGTGTCAAACAACAGGTGGAAGTAGTGCATTGGTTGGGGACTATTTTAAATGGCGGATTAATCCACGTTTGGTACTCTTATGAGTGTTTTTTGCAGCAGGACAGTGTATGTGAGATTTAGTCAGAATAAACAAAAGTGTTCACAGTAATGAAGACGCAACAGTATGACTTATTGATGTCTTTTTAATAGTTGTTAACATCAATGCAGCACTTTGGCACTGAAGAAAAATATATATCAGGCTTTGATACACATACACACTACTTGTACGGATCAACTGATTTATTGTTTTTATTCAATTTATTAAGAGTGAGAAATGTAGAATATTACCAGATTCTTCCCCCACCCCTGGATCAGTGCAGCATCAGTTACCCCACAGAGACTAGAGTATCACAGAGTGGCTTTTTTTGGTGCCGCAGCACCGCTTCGTGTGTGTGGGCGAGAGCCAGAGATGGAGCAGTGATAGATTGGTCGTAGAGTGTGGGGGGGGGCTCATGTGTCCCCTCAACAGCAGAACGTGGGCAGCATTGTTTTGGGTTGTGCAGGCTGTCAGGTTGGCATGCTGCATTATTTAGCAGACATGAGTGGGCAAAAGGGGGAGGCAGAGTAAAAGATCGCAAACACAGAGACTACTAATGTAAGCAGGCAGGGAATCTGCTGAACTGTGAGTTAAGGAAGCACAATTTGGTAACTAATCATTTAACCACATTGTTCTCAAGCACATACTAAAACCTTGTTTATGTGATGGTTCTACTGCAGAATGAAGGACAATCAATGTAGCATAGCAAAAACCCTGCAACAATCTAAAGGCAACACTTTTTATTTTAATACATTTTTTATTGTTATCTTCATGTTTTTTAATTTTTTATTATTGCCATTATGTCAGTTAGTCAGTTTGTCCATTAACTGGGCCTTATCTTAACCTACAGACACAAAAGCAGATTTTAATTTAAAACAAGGCAACATTATCTTTTTGTCAGTGTATTTAAATAGTTTTCTGAAATACAGACAATTCAGATGGATATATATTATAAATATATAAATTCAGCTCTGGAAAGAGACCACTGCACCATTATAATTTTCTCCGGTTTTAGTATTTAAAGTTACGTGTTTGAGTAAAATAAATGTTTTTCTATTTTATTCTATAAACTACTGACAACATTTATCTGTGTTGGCATTCAACAGACACCGGAATGGAATGGCAGACGTACATCTTGAGATTCAAAAATGTTCGGAGCTGTATATATAAATAGATATATAGATAGATAGGTTGATTTTTGGACAGATTTTTGTGAGCACACTGCCCCCATGTGTGTACATATGGAAAAGGCATAAAACAAGTTGTTGATATCTCATCCATATCTCACAGGACTTCATCCAGATTTACCTCAAAACTCAGTCAACACATCATTAATCATCCTGTTTCACTCTGCCCGCTGTGAGCTGATTCTAATTCTCACTCCTCTCACTGTGTTTCAGGTGTGTGGAGAGAAGAGTCGCTTTGAGAAGCTCATGGAGTATTTCTGCCATGAGGACAGCAACATCGACTTCATGGTAAAGCTGGAAGCAAACAGAACCAATGATACAAACAATCATCCAATAACACGGCATGTGATCAACGTGAACTCTCACACATACAAACAGAGAGGATATAACTTGATACTAATGCTGGTCATGTGATAGTAGAAAAACTGATGCTAATCACCAGCTTATTGTAGTCAAAGTGGAACCACCTCTCATAGCAGTAAGTAGATAAAAAAAAAGGTTAAAATAAAAATTGTATAAAATATATTTTCAGTAAAACAAACTGAGTCGGTATTGCCTGGTTAAAAAAAAGGGGAAAAAAGAACATTTAAGAAAATGCATTTCGATGTTGTGGCTTCAGAAGTTCTCTAACCATGCATTCTGTAAATACAGTTTACCTGGCTCTGAAATAAACTAAACTGATACAAACTAAAAATAGATAATTCAATCTGTAATACAAATTGTAACTTCATAACGATTCTAATATTTGTGTAAAGTCTGATAAATGTTGACCTACTGCCTGTCATTTAGCTTTACATACTTACCCTCATCTGTAATCATTATCAACCATAATATTGGCACCTGTAGTTAAAAAGTATTTCCTCTGTCTGCCCACCAGGTGGCCTGTATGCAGTTCATCAACATCGTGGTGCACTCAGTGGAGAACATGAACTTCAGGGTCCACCTGCAGTACGAGTTCACCCGCCACGGCCTGGATGAATACCTGGAGGCAAGTGTGATGTTTGTCCATGTAATAGTTTTATTTATTAAGACTCAGAAAAATCTTTTGGATAACATTGATGTAGTCCCTTTGTAATTTGTTAATCAGTTACAACATGGCAAATGTTTTAATCTTTTTTAAATGTCCTGTTTGTGCAGAAGTTGAAGTTCACGGAGAGCGACCGCCTGCTGGTGCAGATCCAGGCCTATCTGGACAATGTGTTTGATGTGGGGGTGCTGCTGGAGGACGCAGAGACCAAGAACGCTCTGCTGGAGCACATGGAGGAGCTGCAGGAGCACAACACACAGGTGGAGACACACACACACACACACACACACACGCAGGTAGGGTACATCCTGGGGCAGAGGGTGGGCGATAGCAGCCAGCGACTGTCAGTGTAGAGCTATTTGCCAGTTTAATGTTTACGATAAGTAGGTCAAATTGTTTGGGGACAGATTTACTAGTGGCGATAGAACACTGGAGGTGTTGCTTTGTGAATATAACTACTGTTACAACCCGGCTCCTGGACTGTAACAAAAAGCAGGGAGGCGAGACGAGGGGTAAGAATATGACAATGGTTTATTCTTAATAAACAAATAGCTCCAGGGAACCAGCAACAGGTCCCCGAGGCTGGCACGGAGAGAGTGCCCAGAGGAGTCAGAGAGCGAGACGTATCCGGCTTGGCTCCTCTTGTATTCTTCCAGCAGGTGCAGCTCATCAGACAGGTGTAGTTCATCCGGCAGGTGCAGCTCATCAGACAGGTGTAGTTCATCCGGCAGGTGCAGCTCATCAGGCACTGGAACCTGCAATCACCCACAAACACACACACGAACAGACGGCACCCCACGTGGTGTGGAGGGGTCGTCACACTACTCCACCAGCTTTAGATGATCTATCCTGCCTAAACACATTATAACCAGCGATGCCGATGTCAGAGTCTGGGTTATTCTTCTTCAGCCAAGACTCAGTGATGACAAGTACCCAGGGCCGGCCCTAGACTTTTGGGGGCCCTAAGCAAGCTTTGGCTTGGGTGCCCCCCCTCACTCTAGCGCGTTCTCACTATACACAACAGGGAACCAACTTTTGTCTGATGATGTTAGCATAAACACACATATTGTATAAATCATGTAAAGCATGTAAACACCGTAGACATAACCTCCTCTAGGGGGGGCCTCACCTCCACTAGGGGGGTCCGGGGGCATGCTCTCCCGAGAAGATATTTTTTTAAATATTGAAGTTAAAAGCATCAATCTGGTGCACTTTGAGTAGCAANCTGCTGCTTTGAGGCGACTGTTTGTGATCTGGTTCACTCAAAATGTGTTAATAAGACAGTTTCTCTGCCCTGGATGAGACGACTTCCTGCCAAACAGGCCCTACGGCCTGTTTGGCAGGAAGTCGTCTCATCCAGGGCAGAGAAACTGTCTTATTAACACATTTTGAGTGAACCAGATCACAAACAGTCGCCTCAAAGCAGCAGTGGAGGTGGTCTGAACAACACTCAGCCTGCAGGCCGAATCAAAACATGATTAAGGTTTAATGAAACACACAGCAGCACAGAATGACGTGTAGGACCAAGAGTTCACCTTGTACACACCTTCAATTCTTTAAAAGCTCAATATAGACTCTGAAAAACCAACCCGAGTCTAGTCTAGAGAGGCTTCTCAATTCTTAAATTTCCCCTCCTCGACTCCCCTCCTCGACTCCCCTCCTCGAGACTTAGTCCCGCCCACAGGAGATGCGAGCGGAGGAGCCGAGGAGGGAACCGGAGGACAGAGGAGGGGAAGCAGCAGGCGGTTAGAGAAATGTGAAATCCTCTCCTCTGAGCGGTCATTTTAAAGAGACGTCCATTAATGATGACAGGAGGCAAGCAGCACTCTGTCTGATGGACAGATGTGTTCATGACGACTTATATATTTACTTTTAATTCATTCACAGTGCGGTATAATGAGACAATAACAGGCTACAGATGCGGACATATATACACACACACACACACATATGTATTTATATATACGATTTCAGAAGTATGAGAGCACTCTCATAATAACGTAAAACTATCAGAGACTGGATATATCAAGTATTAAAAGTAAGCATAGGACACCAAACCAACTGAGACCCGTCTGTCCGCCGCATCTACGCACACGCACACACGTGCGCGCGCGCGCACACACACACACACACACACACACACACACACACACACACACACACACACACACACACACACACACACACACACACACACACACACACACTGTACCACACGCACCTACAGCTCCTTAAGCATATAATATATATCAGGATACTGCCGTTGTGTATTTTATTATGTGAAGCAGTAAATGGTCTTAGAAAAGTCAACTCTTTGTTTGTAGATATCTACTAAACTAAAGCATACAAATACAGAGAGTAATGTAGGCCTGTTATGCTGAGTGATATATATTATACACACAGCTCTGAAGGAAACCGATGGACTGTCCACTCCAAGTAGGGAATGAGTCCTTACCCCAAGTGAAGGAGTTCAGTTATCTTGGGGTCTTGTTCTCGAGTAAGGGAACAATGGAGCGTGAGCTGGGCCGGAGAATCGGAGCAGCGGGAGCGGTACTGCAGTCGCTTTACCGCACCGTTGTGACGAAAAGAGAGCTGAGCCAGAAGGCAAAGCTCTCTGTCTACCGGGCCATTTTCGTTCCTACCCTCACCTATGGTCATGAAGGATGGGTCATGACCGAAAGAACGAGATCGCGGGTACAAGCGGCCGAGATGGGTTTTCTCCGCAGGGTGGCTGGGGATAAGGAAGTTCAGTAATCCAGGAGGGACTCGGAGTTGAACCGCTCCTCCTTCGTGTCGAAAGGAGCCAGTTGAGGTGGTTCGGGCACCTAGTAAGGATGCCACCTGGGCGCCTCCCTAGGGAGGTGTTCCAGGCACGTCCAGCTGGGAGGATACCGAGGGGTAGACCTAGGACCAGGCGGAGGGATTATATCTCTTCGCTGGCCTGGGAGCGCCTTGGGATCCCCCAGTCAGAGCTGGTCGATGTGGCCAGGGAAAGGAAAGTTTGGGGCTCTCCGCTGGAACTGCTACCCCCGTGACCCGACCACGGATAAGCGGGAGAAGATGGATGGATGGATGGACACTGCTCTGCTTTCTGCACGGACCTCACAGCTGTTCTCACTGTAAACATTGCGTCGCGATGAAAGCAGTTAATAAAATAATATCCAGGGGATGCATGCAGAGCTGTCAACTCTTTTAAACATCACTGTTGCCGGAAATACATCCGCGGAGGACCCATCAGTGTATCCTCGATTATAGCTCTTCCAGAGATCCCCCTCGATTTTCGGTCCACGAAGTGCATTTAGAGAAATTAGATGTCCTTCAACATGGCGCGCTGAAATCCATTTCCGGGTCACTACCGGAGGACCGAGGATTCGAGGAGTCGAGGAGGGGAAATTAGAGAAATGAGAAAGGCCCCATAGAGACAAGAACTTACAGTATATAAGGGATTGTAATAGTGAGTCCTCCCTCCACCAGGGGGCCCTATGGAGAGCAGCAAGAACATGTCCTAAAACCACACCCACACGAAACATCAAGAGTCTATCAGAAAATGGGTTAGGATTAGGGTTAGGGGAGATACAGAAATGCGAAATTGTAGGTCTAATTGTTATATCAGTAACACACGTCTTTGCAAGGAAATTATCAAACAAGATTCTTATACACAATATGTCCTGCACACACAAACAAAACAAAAAAGCAATTACTTATTTAATGTATGGGTAGGATGCGAAGGAGGCAGGAATGCAATGATATCAAACCTACACACCGACGTGCCTTGTCTCCAACCCAAAAGGCTCTCTCTTAACAAACTTAAAGGAGCGTTTCACAACAGAACTCAGTCCATTGGTGGCTGGGAACCAGAGCGGTCACATGCAGCTGTGTTATGTGCTGTTTACACGAGAACGCAAACGGTTGTATCCGCTACTTTTCTCTTGCTTTTGGTGTATTTTGTGACGGAAGTACAGCGCCAATTACAGGCCCGGCATATGTACTACAGCGTCTCCGGCGCTCCCGAGCGGTCTCGTGAGAACGGAAGACTTTTTTGATATCGTATTTGGTTTGTTTGCGGTTTGTTTGCGGTTCGTATGCGTTTACGTTTGCGTGTAAATGGGGTCTTAAGGTCATCAAGGTGTTTCCACCTGCAGAACAAACACACTTTTCTATTTGGTTCCCTCTACTCAGGCCTGGATATTATTAGTGGTTGTATTGACAGTGTTAGATATACAAAGAGAAAGACAAAGAGACTCAGAGAAAAAACCTGACAATTCTAGTTTTGCTCATCATGTAACCATGCATTCAGTTGTCTGAGCTGTTTAAATATGAAAGATGAGTGCTTATCAACCTTCCGAATATTAGGTGTACTGCTGCATAAAGGAATGGTGAGACACACACAATGAACCCACAAAAAAAAAAAAAACTTGGCCAGCTTAGAGTGAAAAGAAGAGGTAAATAGGACATTTCTAATGAGGTTATACTTCCCTCCTACGCTAAACTGCCGAACATTTGTTCTGAAACATATTGTAATGCTTGCCCTATTGACACTGTAATTTCTGGAATTATTTGGATGCTGCCGTGTTTTTTTTTTTAGCTTTCAATGTTTTATTATTTCTACTTTAAGGGTTTTACTGACTACAGTTTCAGCCTGATTTCTTGATTTGCAACTTTGAAGCTTGTAGTTGTTTTGTCTTTGTTTGTCCCTAAATGCTGTATTTAAAGGTGCTTTTGTAGAAGTTATCTAAAAACGTTGCAAAGATTTAACACTACATGTCCACTTTTTTGCTCCCTACCGCTGACTCTCCTACAAAGACACTAATACATTCATTTGCATTCACCATACTTTTCCTGCACAGATTTGTTTTTTTTCTGCATACATTTACATGGTTTTAGCACTGCAAATGCCCTTTAAATAATACAGTAAAATATCCTTAAAACCAATATGAATAAACACATAAACAAATCACTGTAGCAGTGACGCATTCAACTGGATTCAAAATAATATTAGAGTCAGAAACAACATTTATCTTAAATTAACATTAAATTGTACAATAAAATGTCTCCTAATTAGGAAATGTGTTGTATCATACAATATAAAAATTAAATATATATATTTTTCCTGCTGAGCTAACACAATACTGTAAGAAAATCAATCCAGACTATTCCATATAGAACTTCCTAACTCTCCGTTTAACATGATAACATTATGGCTCATAACACACGCAGGAACCAGAAACAAATAGGAGTAAGGTATTACAATGGGTGTGAGCGTAAAAGAGAGAGGGAGGAGGAGATGGATTATCATGGGCAAAATGATTCAAGCGAGGTGAAATGCATCAAATTGGAGAAGATAAGGGAATAATAAGAGAAATGGAGCTATTAAAAGAGGTGCATGAATCTGAGCAAAAAGAAATGGAAGGAAGAGGGAGAAGGAAGCACTTATGGAGACTAGAGAGAGAAAGATGAATAGATTTGAGAGTAGATGAAGGGCAGAAAGTTGGAAAAGGCAGAGAGGGGAGAGAAAGAAAGCAGGTGTAAGATTCATGGAGAGCACTTATCCCGAAATATATATGAAGCCATGGCAGGAAATGAGACAGATGCAGAGAAGAGAGGAGGGAAAAATGGCAGGGAGAGAGCTGCCAGGTTAGAATGACTCTCCCTCAGAGTAGTTGCCTGGGAAAGTTTGGTAGTA